AAGAGAGGGAGAAAAGGATAGAAAGCTTATTTAAATAAATAATGGATGAGAACGTTCCCAAAACAGGGGAGAGATTTGGACATCCAAGTTCATGAAGCTCATAGGTCCCCCCCAAATTTCACAATATTATATGCTAATTATATCTTAATAAATCTTGAAAAAAAAGCCAATTAGAAGGAAGCATTGGAGTGAGAGAGATTCAATAAACAAGAGAGAAAAGAAAGAGGATTTAGAATAAAATAACAGCAACAACAACTAATATTCATTCAGTGTTTGCCCTACCCGCGGCACTGTGCTAAGCCCGTGACATGTAGTCTCACATTTAGTTCTTAGAATAATGTTATGCAGCGGTGCCAGGAGGAAAGTGTGGCCTAAGGATGTTAACCAACTTGCTCAGTGTCTTCCAGCTAGCGAGTGGTGAACTGACTTACTATCTTAAGGACCGACCTTGGTCACCACCGCAGCCCACCACCCCCCAACTGGAATTTAGGTGTTCTGCGCTGCGTTTGAAAACCTACTTAAAGATTCTTTAACTTATATTTTAAGAAAGGCCACTTTGAAACCCTCTGTCTGAAAGTTCTAACCGCTCTATTTGGACAACAATTTTGGTGGGTGGCCTGGGTCCAAAAAAAAAAAAGGCCTTATCTACTGAGAAAGCTTAACCTTGAGAATATATATATAAAACATCGTGCCCCCAAATATAGGCTGTGTGAACTGAAGGGGATTTGCCCAAAGAACTCGCAAAGCAACTTGGGGAGGCAGAAATTAATTGTAGGAGAGTTTTTTTTTTTTTTTAACATTGCAAGAAGGACACAAAAAGGATGATGGGTTGCGGCAGCAACATAGAAAGGCCAAGGAAGAGATGTGAAAACATCCCACAGACAGCTTCCCCGTAGATTCCAATCGACTAAATTTCCTGAAATAATACTAATTCTGTCCTCTTGCTTTCGATAGGACATAATGACTACATGTGTCCGGCTACCAACCAGTGCACGATTGATAAAAACAGGAGGAAGAGCTGTCAGGCCTGCCGGCTACGCAAGTGCTACGAAGTGGGCATGATGAAAGGGGGTAGGTACCTTGGACCCAGGGCACCCACCATGAGGTCCTTGTCCCCCACCCACTGCTGCCCATTTCCATTCTAGTCACCACGGGAGTGGAGTGGTTTCTCTTCTAATTAATCTTTTTCCTAGTCTCACTTTTCTTCACAACAAAACTATTTTTTATAACACATTTTATTAAAAAATAAGAAATCCGAACACACCATTTTGTGTTTCATATTTTCAATGTAAATACTTATATTTAAAATCAAAAGTGTGTGGGAGGTGGTGATGGAAGGAAAAGAAGACTGCTCAGCGAATTATTCTAGAAATATTTTTCAGTTACTGTTTATATTCCTAAAGCTAGAAAACGGTATCTGGGAAGAAACTTTCCTTACACTGAGACTTGTACATGTGAGAGCTGAAGAGCTAGTTTGTCATCTTTCAATCCCTTCACATCCCTTCGGGAATTTGAATTTCAATCAAAAGGCAGCTTTCTCCTTTAGAAGTTGAGTTAACTAGCAGCTCCCATAATCTCAGCGTCCAGTATGGAGCTGGGAACAATGCAGTGATTTCTGAGCGCTAGCATCACGAGGTGGTCGGGATGTGTGCCCGTGTTTTTGTGCTGTGGGTGTGTGTATGTGTGGTTTGCTGTCTCCTCATGTATCCAGTCTTCCAGTTTTCTTATACAGGAATCCAGCATCTGGTTCTGGGAATATTAGGTGCTCCCTAAATGTGGTTGCCTGATTGATCTCCTTGTATTCTTTGGAATCTAGTCTTGAAGAGCGTTCAAAATACTGGGAGAGAACAAGAGGAAATGTGTAATTGAAATAAAGGAATGGGTGCATCCAGTGTTTTAGGATGATATAAAGGAGAGACAGACCTATGATGGTGCTGCCTGCTGATCAGAATGGGAAAAAATCTTTCTGGAGAGGAGGCTTGAGATTAGTTAAGGAGAACAAAGTGGCCATGAAAAAGAGTAGTGATTGTGTAAATAGAGGGAAGCTAACCTTTAACTCATTAACACTTCGACAAAAGGGGAGGCAGAGGAAAAACCAACAATCATGCCTGATTATTAGGGCACTTATAGGCAAAGATTCCTTTGTTAATGGCCATAAATAAATCAACCGGGTTGAGATTTTGAATACAGCATTTGGAATAAATTATCTTGATGAACAGATGAAATGTTGAATTTACACATTGTGTGAGCTGTGACTATTTGTCTTGAGTGTCTGAAAAAGCAACTTTGATTCAAAGGGTAATTAATTCCAAGAATTTAACAGCCACATTCAGAAAATGACACTTTGAGTCATAAATGGATTAAATATTTAAGGAATTCATTTTTCTTTGTACTGTTGGAGAATTAGTCAGGCTTAATTAAACTCACAAAAAGCTTCTTAAGGTAACTTGATAAGTGACAGGAATAAAACAGCTACATGCAAAAAGTTTACTTTGAAAGAGTAGAGTCCAAGTTTAATATTCTTCTTCGACAATTGTAGGTAGATTAAGCCCAGACTCTTAAATTCTCTCTAAAAGCTGAAATGATCAAATTGTAAATTGGTCCAAAACATTTTTTTTCTTTGAGGGTACCCATACATTGACCCCACTTCATAGAAACAATTCTGTTTTTCTTAATTAACATCCAGATACAGTCTGGATGCATAAATTGTGCATACACATTTTTATCTAACAAAAAATTTAACATGCAAAGACATAATAAAAATCTTCCCACTGCTTTCAAATAGGACTTTAGATAATTATTGCACATAGTCAATCTATGTGTGCATGCATGTACTTGTACATGTATATTTATGACTGCAAAATATATATCTATACTAGTTTGCCGCTGTGTTAGTCTGCTCAGCCTGCCATAACAAAGTCTACAGACCGGGTGACTTAAACAGCAGAAATTGATTTCTCACAGCTCTGGAGGCTGGAAGTCCAAGATCAAGGTGTCGGCAGGGTTGGTTTCACCCTAGACCTTTCTGCTTGGCTGGAAGGTGGTCCTCTTCTCGCTGTGCCCTCACGTGGCCTTTTCTGTGTGTGTGTGTGCATCCGTCGTGTTTTTTTCTCTTCTTTTAAGGACCCCAGGCATATTGGATTAGGACCCCACCCTTAGGACCTCATTTAATCTTTATTACATCCTTAAAGACCCTATATCCAAATTTAGTACTATTCTGAGGTACTGGGGTTAGGGCTTCAATGTGATTTTTCGAGGAGACACAATTCAGTCCATAACAATTTCCCATAGAGATTCCTTAGCAGTTGTTAGTATCCATCTACATAAAATGAAAACATGTGTCTTTCTGGCAGTTTATACATGTGTATAAGTTTTACGACAAGCTTTAAAATTGTAAAACTATAGGCTGTGAGAACACCTCATTTTAATTATATGTATAGTGTTTGCCATAATGCAATATAATTTATTTTTTTTCCACAGTATGGGATACCACACATAACCTCATGACACCTTGTATAACAACTCCCCAGATCCCACCCAATAAAGACCTAATTTACAGCTGGAAGTACAGTTATAGCCAGCTATAAAATTTGAAATTACTTGTAAAGAACAGCTGTGACTAGATAAATCTTTACAACATTTTCCTACTGGTTTCACAAGAATCCAGTGTCTGAACCAGGCTAGAGACCAATTTGAATACTGAATCTCTCCATATGAAATAAAATGTTTCATTTCAGATAAAAGAGAGAGAACCACAAACTTACCTCCTACTTTTTTTTTTTTTTTTTTTTTTTTTTT